CAACGACGCAATGTGGCCACTTGACCATGATTCGAAGCCGGCTGGATCAAGGTCTCTTTGCAGCTGAGGGGCAAAAGACGTCTTGCGGAAGTAAACTGAACGACCCGGTGGTCGAGGCTCTTTGCGTCTGGCCTCTTTGACGAGTTGTTGCGTGTTGCTAAGACTGACAAGACGCATTGACGATGCCGACGAAAGGTCTGGGAATGTACCACGTGCACGGTCGGACTGAGGACTCGTTGCGTTCCTCTAAGTCGTCCTACCAACATGATCGAGTTTCGAAAACAAGGTCAAACCACTTTTGTACAACCAAAGCAGATTGCGACCACATATCTTCGGTTTTTACGCCGAAAGTTCAAACGACCCGTGGCTGGGCGCACGAGAACCGGTAACTGGAGCAAGATCGAGTCGGCAGAGCTGGTTGGGTGGCAGAAACTGTGACGCAGTGACGCAGCCGACTTCCTTGTGCTCACCACTTTCCACGAGTGATAGACCTCTCCGGCAGGCGTCTGTCGGGGGCGCGGCAGCACGACGCTGTGAGTAGAGCGCGACAAGCAGCAGAGTGCCTCGGCCGTGGAAAGATGGGCCGAGGCGTCACATTTCTTCATATTTACGTAATCTAAATGTCGACTTCTGATTGGTGCTGAACACTTGACTCGGCTTTGTGCCACGGCACGGATGACGGCGGATCTGGTGGCCAGCTCAGATTGGTCTGCCTTGACTGTGGCATTGTCGACAGTCTGCATGTGAGTCGAGATCTGGGCCCGAAGATTGCTGTTTGTGTGTGTGTGTGTGTGTGTGTGTGTGTGTGTGACAGTTGAGAGACGTGGTTGCACCGGTTGAGTGAGACGAGGCAATGAGTCATCCCAAACCTGTGGAAAGTTGGGCCGAGCGGTAGCCAGCCTGTGGGGACAGAGCCGTGGGACAACGACTCGACGAAACGCCTCAATTCGCCATTCTGTTTTTTTTTTGCTGTGAGTCTTCGCGCTCATCGCTTCAGGTCTGTCGGTATCTTCATGCCCTCTCGCAGAGACATTATTTACTCGTTGGGCTTACTTCCACTTCGAGTGGAAGTGTTGGGTGAAGAGATTCGAAGGTCGGTTCCATCAGAAGACGATGGCCGATTCCTCTTGACCAGCTGGCGATTGGCTTTACTGGAACATTCATGCTGACGCTGTTTCCGAGGCAATCGCCTTCGATTCCGGTGAAAAGGTGCTAAGCTTTCGTCTGTCATGTGACGAACAGTGCGAGGTAACATCGTCACAACAAAACTTAAGCCAACGAGTCAAGAAAACTCACCGGCAAATCCCTAAAAAGTGGTACACATACTCTACATCTGACCTCTTTGATCAAGCATAAAGTGATTTGGTTAGTTAAGGTCATATGTCAACTTCTATGCATGTAAATGTGTCTGTCTCTGTATTTGTATGTGCATGTTAGTGTTCGCTTATTCACGAAACCTGAAATGATGGCTCAAAGTAATTACGACAGCAAAAAGAAACGTCTGTTTTTGGCCATCAAGGTTTGATGAACCCCATCTCGTTCTTTCTACATTAATGTTATAACAATCACTCCGATTGCGCAAGGTCGGACACGTCTGGTTTTGTTCATGAGACTATTTTTAGTTTTTGGTCTCAATGCGAGAGAGAAAGAGTGAGCTATCAGTACAGAGAAGAGACTATGATTAGAAGCAAGAAAATAAATGACTAGTTGCGGACGAAAGCTCAGCACCGGTTCACCTGAATCGAAGCAGATTGCCTCGGAAACAGCGTCAGCATGAATCTCTATTTATTAATTGAATAAAACAATCTCATCTTTGCTCGCTGTGACTCGAATGACTCCGGCCTATTCCGATTGCTCTAGCTTCGTGGATTAGCTGAATTTTGACTAATTTCTTGAGATAATATTGTTATGGGCATTTTCATTTCGTATAAAAGAAGTTGCTGAACATATTCGTTGGTTGTTCTGACTGGAAGACGACTGTTGATTCCAGTCGACGCGCATGCACACACAGAAGC